GACTGTGCCTGTCTTAGGTTGTTCCTCCCTTGAGGAATCTTACCCGTCTCTGGCTAACCAGTCATCTTCCGGGGCCATACAGGGAAATGTGAAGTTGGCAAGTGAGAGAGAAGCCATATTGTTTGAAAAGGTTAGCTTTTTACTTTTTTGCAGATTTATGCCCTGTGGCTTCTATGCCCAGCGGCTTCTATGCCCAGCATTTGTCTTGAGGTATCTTTACCACTTGGAGGAATTATGATACTCGGTAATTTCGATATGAGGCATGAATTCTACTTAGGGGTTGTAATTATGAAGGAAGAAGAGAAGCTATAGAGGTAGCAGACGGAAGAAAACATGGGAAGATTGATTATTTCTTTGACATATCTTCTTGAATTGTATGAAACTTTTGACGTAGAAATTCCATTTCTAGGAATTTATCTTTAAAAATATGCCCACATTTACAAAATGACATATGTACAAGAGGCTGTATGTTGCAGACTTTTTTATAAGTAACCAGAACAGTGTAAACATCTAGCAATGGAGTATTGATTACATTAACTGTACAAGCTACAAGTGGAATACCATGCAGCCATTTAAAAACAACCAACCAACCAAGAACCTAGATCAGTCTGCTCAGAAGGCACAGAAGGCACGTCAACTCCGTGGAATAAGTACACCTAATAACTAGATCTTGGTTCCTAAATACCATTCTTCAATAAAAGGAACCAGGGATAGTTGGAGAAGTAACTATTTTAAGCCTGGGGAGGGGAAGGTACAAGTTGAACCAGTAACACCGTGTGCCTTTAAGTCAGGAAACGCTCAAAGCATGATGGGGACACGTCAAAAGGAGCCAGCTCTGCAAGCTGGGTGACACGGACCTGATTCTTACCATCACATCAGCCCCGCCTCACTCCAGAAGTCTCCACATAGAGATAAAGACAGAGTGTGCAGGCGGGAGAGCAGCAGGCCAGGGAGAGCGGAAGTTGATGTGCTAAAATGTTTAAGACAGGTGAATCTATGGGTGTTTATTGCTCTATTCACTTAACCTTTCTGAGAAGTAAAAATTCTTACAATGAAAAGTTAGGAATAAGAAACAAACTAACCCTACAATGGAGAATCTGCACATATCCCCTCACCTTTCCAGGCCTTCAGTTTCCCTCCCTGCAAAATGGGTATACTGATGGCTTGTGGCCAGCACTAGGAAAGCCGCATCAGACTTTCCTTGGCAGCCAAGAAAAAGTCAAGAGTCTGGGATCCCATCCCCTGAAGGTATATATAGAGGCCAGATAACTGCAATGTTTCTAATATTCCTTAAGTGATTTTGAGGTACATCTAGGTTTGGGGACTGCTAGATAATCTCCTTTCATGAATTCTTTAATTTCTAGAGCCAGAACGTAGTTTGGAAAATGGGATGCTTAGAAATCCCACACACATTATTTATTTACATCATACAGTAACAAATCGAACTAGGAAATTATGCAAATGATTAGAAACAAACTAAAGAACTAATACAATAAACTGATCCAGTTATGTTTACAGTGAAAATTTCCATGTCACTACAGTTGCCTGCACTTCTTTTCCCAACACTGAGTCTTTAAAAAAAGTACTCACTTGCCCCTGCTGGCTAAGTTGTCCAAGCAGGTTTTGATGTAGCTTTTATAGTAATCCACCTGCTCTCCATAAAACGTGGACTTGGAGTTCAGAGCAGCGTACGTTTGTTGCAATTTCACCAGTTCAGCCTTTCTTCTCTGCCGGTATCTCCGCTGATTCCGAATATCCTGAGACACAATTATTAAAATTAGGAAAATGGTAGACACATGTGCTTCTTGAATCATTACCACTAGAACTGAGCAGGGCTTAACTTTGCCTTACATGACCACACATTCTAATAGGAAGGAATTTATATTTAAAAATTAACAAAGAAACTCAGATCTCATTTTTTCCCCCCGTTTGTATTTCCTAGAGGTAGGAAATGTGTGTTTTACAGACTTCTACATTCTTAGAATTTACTTGTGAATCTGGCTCAAACCTCAATGGCTCAAATGTTGTCAGGAGAGGGAGAAAAAGATAATTTTAATACATCAATCACCAAGCTTCTAGATCCGCATGGGTGTTTCCTTAGTACAACAGCAGAAAACACCTAAATTCTCAGCCTGCACCAAGGCCCCTTACTTGAGAAGATTTACACAAATCAAGGCTTTGATGATCAATTTGATGTGAATTTATATTTCACTGTAAGTCATTAAAAAAATCTGGAAGGATTCTTTAAAGGCGGAGACCATCTGAGACACAGGGGGCTCTAACAAGGTCTTCACCCTATTGACCCAGGCCATAGAGTAAGTCTTCAAAGGGAGGGGAAGGCTCTCACGCTGAGGGAGTCAGACATGACTCCCCAGAAAAGAGGACACTAATCTGCCATGAACCAGAAACCTCCGGGACGGCTTTAAAGACGGCTGGACCATCGCTGCCCCCAAAGGCAGTACCCTGGCAATGTCGTTGATCAGCTCCTGGTATCTGTTCTTTGGGTCCACCGTCCCGAGCTCTGTTAGCTTCTTCAAGCCCAACTGGATCTTCTCCTTCTTCTCCTGAAGACTAAGGTTGCTGTCTTCCTTTACAGATTTGGACTTTTTCATCTTGTCAGGAGTTTTGGCATCCCGGATAGCACGCCTTTGCATGGCCCTCTGATGCTCTGCTTCCTAAAGATGAAAAGCAGCAGTTCCTGGCAAGTCCACCACGCCGACCTGAGTGATCTGAGATACCCACACCTGAATTTATACAGCTCTCAAACTCCACTCCGGAAACCGAGGGGGTAACAAACTCAACTCCTGACCACTGACGGAGAAACTGCGTGAAGCAGAGGCAGATACATTTTCTCCCAGAAGAGATTATTACATCTAGGAAATCACAGGCTTCTCAACTAGACTGTCAGGTACGGTTAGGAGCTTGGGCACTACTGGTGACAAAATCCCTTGCTTTTTCCCTCTCAAATTTTGACACGTGTAAGCCACTTAATTTTATTTGAAACACAGCCTATGAATGTTACAACTGCACCAAGGCAAGCCCAGTGCTCAGTGAGTTCTTGCTGATCCTTTTAGCCACCGTGTCCAGGGAAATCATGCTCTAGCCTTTCCTCTGCTGTCAACCATCCTACAAACATCTGTTTACTTCCCCACCGCATATTCAGAGCTTGAAGAGCACCGAAACAGAGGCGGTGACAACTGCAACACCCTCTGCTATGGCCCCCTCACCCTCTTCTTTCAGTCCTTTCATCTGCACCTACTGCTCTCAGAGCCAAGCACCACTGCCTCCACCCCAAACCCAGTGCCTTCTCTCAGCTGTCACCTTGCCCGGCCTGTCTGCATTCTCTCCGCGCCCTACGCAGGTTTGGTACCTACAGGGGACTCAGGGTCATTTCTCTGTAACCATTCACCCTCAGTACTTCAATGATCCCCTCTATGCTGACGGATCCCGAATCTTTGCAGCTAAGGCTCTGGTACCATGTTTTGAACTATTTGTGCTGAATGTTTATATTTGGAATGGCTTTTAACTCCTCCCAAACTGGAGAAATTCCCTTTCCCAATATTCAGTTTTCTCCTAATTGACTCTTAAACAACATAGGTTTGAACTATGTGGGTCCACTTTACAGGTGGTTTTTTCAGTTGATGCTATACAGCACTATATTTTCCCTTATGGTTTTCTTATAATTTTCTCTTCTTTTAGCTTACTTTATTGTAGGAATACAGTATATAATACATATAAAATACAAAAAATATGTTAATTGACTATTCATGTTATCGGTAAGGCTCCCAGGCACAGTAGGCTACTAGTAGTTAAGTTTTAGGGGAGTGGAAAGTCATACACAGACGTCTGACTGCACGGGGGTCAGTGCCCCTCACCACTCCACTGCTCAAGGGCCAACGAACATGCAAAGAGCAGATCTGGGGAGTCAGAGCAGAGGCGCCATCTGGTTCTGCCACTACAAACAGATGACCCTGGGCAAATTATTTAACCTCTAAAGGTCTTAGTTTCCTTACCTAAAATGAGGATGAAACTCAGCTCTTAGGGGGAGTACAAGGATTAAATGAAAGAACAGAGGTGGAAGCCCTGAACTAACAGTAGGTTACAGTTAAAGACTGGCTCCTCCTTCCCTGCTCAAAGCTCCTAGTCTAAAGGAGGGGCAGTTACTGTTTTCGCCTCTTTTCTTGTCTCTCATGCACACCTATTCAGTAATCAATCACAGCATCGAAAAGCTAAGAATTCACTTACAACAGCGGCTTTCAAATAGTCCTGTGGGCATCCTTAAGGGTTTTCCAGTGGCACTGAAGCCCTAGAGGGTGGGATCCCAGAGCCCCACTCCTGGCCTACCAGAGCAGCTCCCACTTTACCTGCTTTATATAGTGGGCCTCTCAGTAAACTGTCACTTAAAGGACTTCTATGCTCAAAATTTGAAAACATATGACCTTCTTTTCTTATTTTACCAATGTGAAACAGGGGCCTGAAACATGGAGTGACTCGTACATCCCTTCCTGCTGCCAGGCCAACCCCCACCCAGCAGGGACAAGACCTTATCACATACGTAGCTGACTCAGCCACCATCTGCTATGATAGCCAAATTAATCAGTATCAAAGGGCCCCAAAGGTTACAAAGGCTCTTTACTCCTTATCTCGGTGCCAAACTCCTGTCCAGGTTGCGGGCTCTACGTAATGTGCTCTCATGTTCTATCTCTCACTGCTCAGCCTCACTCACACGTCCAATCTCTATAGGTCTGGTCACTTCATGCCCTTCCCTCCACTGCGCCTCTGCCTGTGGGCCCCCTGCCCATCTAACAGCGCCCCTGCATCCCGCCCACTCGCCCCAAGTGTGACTCAGTCCGCTTCTTGATGCTTTGCGTCCTCACTGGCCTCCTTCCTGAACCTCTGGCATTTTTACAGCCAATTCTGGTTAATTTTTAATGGTTTTCTAAATTGTTTCAGATATATATACATCTCATTCACCACTTATATCACGAGTTGAGTTCACGATCCATATTCTGTACTTTTCTTCTACTCACCAAGGCAAAGGCACTTACGAGATCCTGCGTGACATCGGATTAATCCCCGAGCAGCCTCACGGACCGCCTCAGGTCACAGCGGAACACACGCATACTGAGCAGAAGCCCTAAGGACATCTGCCTCTGGATTTAGGGGCCAACAACCTTTTTCAACAAGCCTGAACGCGCCCCCCGCCCAGGTTACTGCCTCTTCTCATCTGTATCCCACTTCCTCAACCGTGTCATGCACCTACCACAGAGGCACCTATGTGCTTTATTACGGTGGACATCAAACCCCTACATTTTACCTGTTCGCTAGTGGCTGGTGTTTCCAGGATTTCTGTCAAGGTCTCTCCTGGCTGGAACCTGATGACATCCACAATTAGACGTTTCGTGCTGAAGGGAGATGGAGGAAGCAGTTAAACACAGACAGGGGTCCCACTTCCTCTCAAATGAGCCTAAGCAGCAATACAAACACCACCTCGCAGAGGTTCCTGGGCAGCTGCCAACTCAAGGTGCTCAGGCTTCTGTGTGGAACTCTGAGTGGGTGCCAAGGCTGGGACTTCTGACATGCAAGTTTCACTTTAGCATCTTATCAGCTAAAAAGGCTGGTAAGTCCTGTGCCAAGTATAATATATGAGGTGACCGAAATTACAACAGGCTTAAAGGTCAAGACGACCATCTCAGGTGTGAACAGGCAGACCTGTTCACCAAGCCAAGGAATCATTAGATTCCATTCGCTTCTTTCTTCCCGCGCACAATGCTCACTTCAGCAAGATAGTCCGAGCATCCATTTCTGCATTTTCATCTCCGGGCACATCAAACTTGTTGGTCAACGTGAGGGATACTTCTGTCTTCGCCAGTGCCTCCTTATTTGCATCACTTAAATTGCCAGAGCTTTCTCCTAAAGTTTTGGGAAGGCAGAAATAATCAATATAAGAAAGAGAGGAGATGTTAATGCAAGTAAAAGATAACACAAATCTAAGACACTTGAATAAGCCAACAAGCACATGGTGGCAAGGACATCCTTCCCTGGGAAAGAACATAGATGCCAAAGGACACAGGCAAAGGGGCCCCACTGAAATGACTGTGTGTCATAATGTGTAACAAAGCATTTCAACACTATAATACTACAATTCTCAAAATACTCTGTCCATTTCTTTTACAGGACTTACAATTTCTAATTACATGATTATGTGAATATACATTTAAAACGATCTCTTCCACTCGATTTGAATTCCTCACAGGAAGGGATTCAGATCTGCTTTCTTCCCCAGTGTGTATGCAGAGCCTGAACAGTGCAGAAGCAGAGGACGTGACGATCACAGCACTGCTCTGCCATGGTCCCCCCTCCGAGCTCCCGGGCAGATAAGTGAGAACTTCACCTATCAGGGACTCGATGGTGGGCACCTCGCCAAGGTCATCCAGCAGTTCATGGATCGGATCATTGTGCTCCGGAGCGATGGCATCCTGGTGATCTAACAGGAGCTGCACCAGACACCCAGGGATCAATTCCATGCACACACGCCACCCAGGAGCCCCGTCCCCACCCACCATGCCGAGCACGAAGGTGGGTAACAAAGCTCCTACGACTGAAGAACTGCCAAGCCGACCTCAGCGAACCGACCCCGCCAGCAGCACAAAGCCTCACACGGGCCTCTGCTCATGACTTATGCTGTGCTGTATGGAGAGGAGGCACAGCTGTTCTCTCAACCTCACAGACATAGGGATTTAAATACCCCGTGCGTGAGAAAGAAAAACGAAACCCATAGACTTCAATATCCAAAGTCACCAATGTACTCTGCAACCAGTTCAAATTTTCACTTCATTTTCCTTCAATTCATACTTTTACTTCATGTTTCCAGTGTACAGTATCTTATAGTTCAGAGAAAAATGCACCAGGTCAATGTTACTCTCGCAGGGGCACTCAAGCACGGCCTTTAAGAGGCTATTATCCTAGGTAACTTCCTCAGAAACGACAACACCTGAAATCCCATTCATATTTTATTTCCTCATTTCCTGTTCTACATGCCCTACCCCCACCATCCAAGGGCAAAGGAATTAATTATACAAGTTTGTGGGGTGGGAAGGAGTATCCAAGGGGAAAACCACTGCAAGGAAGCAGAGGAAAAGGCCGGCCCTTAGATCATGTGAGAAAACTACACAGAGGGCCTGGGTGAAAAAAGGGGTGGTGGAAACGGTGCTTTATCAAGTCCCTAAATCAGCGCTCCCAGCAGAGATCCTGAGGCACCCCATCCCGTGGAGTTTCTGATTCGGCAGGCCCGTGTGGGGTTCAGGACCCTCAGTTTTAACAAAGAGCCCAGATGATTCTGATGCAGGTGGCCTGAGGATCGGTTCGAGAAACTCAGCGGTAGAAATTGCTAATAGCAAAGG